TTCCTCCTTGAGATGCGCGTGTATGGTCTTGTCTTCCATGATAGTCCAGAAGCTGTCCACATCAAGAGTTTCACAAATCTGGTCAAGCTTTAGATTCTTCTGACTGACACGTTCGTTGGCAGCTCTCACGCAGACGTGCTGATGCTCATCCTCCAGTTTGAAAGCTGACCACAGGTTGTCCCCATCAACTGTTTTTAAAGTCAATGCGTCTAATTTGGACTGTAGAGTATTTAGGTTCTCCTGGGTCAGTTCAAAACCAGTGGTCACGTTGTAGGTTTTCAGTTTCAAATGACCATAGGTGGTCTCATCTACCTCAGTAAACCAGAGGTCCTCGTCATCCTCAGAAGTGTTCAGACTCTTCTGGGAATTGTTGACTCTCATCAAGTGAAGCTTTGCTTGTTTCTCCATTAGATTTGCAGTTTTACTTCATTGTTGCTCAAGGAAAAACTGAAATTCTGGGTTACAGTGCATCAGAATGTCCAAAACAGTCTTGTTTAGGTCTTTAGTGAATCCTAAAGCATCACCATGACAACTGGGTTTCAAAAGATGCACACAGACACACGCAAGCACACACCATGCAACAAAAAAGCACAGTGGAGCAAAACACAAAATATAGTCACATTAAACAGCTAGGTCTGTTCTTTTATGATGACAACTGTTTGCATGACAAACACAATAATTCTGACCTCCTTCACTGAATCTGAATCTACCTGAATTGAAATTTTAAAATTTGAAATATTAAAGGGGTGGAACACTTGTTTAAGCCATACATTTGCAGTGGTCTCTAGTAGGAATTAATGCAAGTCTTACTACGAGGGAAAAAAAGCTAAAATGTACTTGTTTCATGAACTAGCAAAACGCTACATCAGAGCGAGCGAAACACAGCAGGATTGGAGTCTTGTTTCCTGATAGTTAGAAATTTTGCCTAACAATAACAGCAATGAGATTCTACCACTGACTCTGTTTGCTCTGCAACTTTGATGTTTTATCCCCACAACTAACACAAGCTTGGAGGTGCTTCTGCTGTGAGGTAGTATTGCTAATGCTAATGGTTAGCTTCTTCCAGCCGAGACGTTCTCTGCTGATTCCCAGACTTTAAAACAACAACAGCCTTCCTCGTCGTGACTCAAAATGAGTCCATGAATGCTGAGTGACGGTGTGACATAGATCTATCAGAAGCTAATGCAGGTGATAGGTGTAGGAGACTATTTTCATTCTCCACCTGCATGAAAAACTCAGACTGACTGATTACAATCAGAAATAATCATTAAAAGATGGGTTTTCAGTGTTCCACACCTTTGAGGAAATTAAAGAATTGTAAATTTTCCCAATTTCTTCATTTTCATAAAAGTTTTTAAATCATTCAAGCAGCATCTACATTAGCACCTAAAATCTCAATAAATTTACTATTTTAGAAGTAATCCTTTATCCAATAAAGTGTTTTAAAACCCAAAAGATGTTTTTGAAACTTAAATTGTCCACTAAAATCTTTACTTTTAGCAATAAACCAATAACAGCTCAAAAAAGTACACATGCAGACAGAACTTTAGGTTTGAATAAACAACGGTTCACTGGTTACATATTAGTTATAGTCACATTAAATAGAGTTAGAATCAGATGTCCAACGGGAAAAAATAAATAAACAAGCTAAAGAAAAGATCTAAATGCATAAAGCTGATTGATTAAAGCACAAGTGGAGTCACTCATGAGTTTGACTGTATAATCAGTTTCCAACCTGTGTAGCCTTACCCACACAAAGCTTAAAACAAGCTACTCCACCTCTTTAAGAAAACATTTATAATTATGACTGTTTTATCAGCCTACCAGTTCTGATGGAAGTAAGCTAGTTCTGTTTTTTAAGCTGTCACGATTCACACATGGAGGAGGGGTGACGTCAGCCGGGAGGTCAGGTGTTGTGAGAAATTGTGTTCCCCTGAAATATTCTGTCCCCCGTGTCGAGAGATCACACTTCTGGCTATTTTCACAGCATTTGTGATCAACTTTTACGGTAAAATGATGTAATGTAATGTAATAATGTTATGATCGTGATTTTGTATCTGTATTTCCTCCTAAAAACAATAAAAAAGATACAGTAAAAACATTCTTGTTCACTCTTTTGCAGCAAGATTATTTATCATTTTTGAAAGTTATGTAAAAAGATGTAATCTCACTCAGTTTAACCATCTTTTATTTGAGGTAGTTTAGTCCTCATAATGGACAATAAGTTCTGTGGATTTGGAAATATTTGCTCTTGACTGCCTAAGGGACACAGAATATTTCAGAGGAACATAATTTTCCACAACACCCGTTTCACGTGGATCACGGCGCCTCGTTGTAAACAAACTGGCTGCTGCTACCAGCTAATATGGATATGGAGCGATCACTGGCTGATCATTAACCAAGGCTGGTGAAGGAGTGTGGGTGAGCCAGGGACACGGTGGAGATCAAGTAAACAATGTTGACTTATCCACCAGCTAACAGTGGCTCATGACTGGCGTGG